CGTTTTTTTAAAAAAAAAAGGTATCAAGCTCTTAAAAAATCACCCTTTAGTAGTCCAGGTTGAGGATTTTCCCTGTCCTGTCTCCTTGTTGTTGTAACAGCATAACTTACTGCTGCCTGGGTAAAATTCACTGTTGGTAAGCCCATAAATCGTCCTGTTTCGAATGGGTTCGATCAGAAGATCCTGCTTGGCAACTCCTTTCACTGAGCGAATGGTACCGTAGCCAATTTAGGTAATATGAACACCTGCTCTGGTTGGCATACACCACTTACCCTTCCGGTCTTCAGGAGGTTGAGATGGCGGAAACCTGTTAGTTCATCTGAGCTGACATTGCTTGGACGGTATAATCTACATAAGTTTTGTAGTCCAGACCAGCACAGCCAGATATATGTCGGGTATACTGAGAACGAGTATGCGTAAGTGGTAGTTTAATCTGCTACGGTAGAAAAAGTTGAAACTTTTCGTCTGCGATAGGTGGTGGCTGAACTTCGACAACGGCATTCACAGTCCTATCACTCCTAATGGTGGTAATTGTCTATCCATTATCCATTAACAATATTAATAGGCCGCCTGATCTTCATCGGGTTGAATAGATGTGCGGTCCACTTCTGAATCTCGCCCGTAGGTTCGTTAAGATGCGTTCTGACTTTTCCTTCCATGTTTTTTCTATCATAGCGCACCCAGCGGCCGTTTTAGGTAAACATAAATTGCAAATGCAGATTCCTTTCTCAAGAAAGGCCTGATGATCAAAGGTGATCCGTAAATTTTTTAACCAACTCTGGTCACGAATACCTTCGTCCAAGATCGAAAAGGGTCACCGTTGATTTTTTAGTGGAGAAAGTATGTATATTTGCATTGAAGAAGGGTCCGAAAGATAGCCATTCATTATCGAACACAGAATATTTATGCAATTATCAGACGTCAATTACGAGCAGTCATCAACGTATGAGATATGTATGTGTGTGCCACTCTCTTTGTGGATGCAGAAACTTCGAAATGTAGTAAATGTAAAACAGTAATGGCGAAAGAACACCTGCCTGTAGGAGCTTAGAAGTGTGATCTCGAGGTAATACTGGCCCGCTTTACCCCACGGTCAATTCCCCAACCAACTTACTCATCCTGATGGGAAGAAGAATGCCTTAATGTTCGCTAGGAGCGGTTTGGTTGGTTTAGAGTTCTTATTGAAGCCTAGTTGATCATTATTGCAGAAAGTAGAGATATCGGACGATTTGACTTTATATTGTTGGCTATTTTTTTGCACTTAAGTAGTTTTATTATTGACTTCTTTAATGTCAAGATGGTTTATGCAGCCCGCTGATCACTTCAAGTTAGTTTTCAATTAAAGAAGGATGCGGGGTGCTAAAATATTTGTGTAACGATTTTCGTCAACATGTCGCCTTCTGGCAACCCTGCTGCATAGCTTCTATTGCTGAAGAAATAATACTCGGTTGGATAAAATCCTGTCGAAGTCTTCAACCACCGCTTAAATATCGAGGTTCTTTGTGTTTTCGAACCTTTGGCGTAGCGCGGCTCTTGCTTTTGCCTCAAACATTTTCGTTAGACGTAATTTGTTTAAAACTTGCATTTGTTTTGTGCGAAGTTTTTTCATTTCTTTTGCATTTTTCTCTCCATAAAGCAGAGTGCGTTTAACATGGCGCATAAGAAATATTGTCACTTTTACTTTATTAGCAAGCCAATGTTTTATTCAACAACAACCCACTACACAGCAATGTGCGTAAAATTTTAAAACCCACGATCGCGTTGCCAACTACTTGCGAGCAAACTTAGGTAGCCAAAATGCAAGAGAAATGCCGCTTAGTGCCTACACTCCGAAAATTTTCGTATCGGAGCACTTAAAAGAGTTGAAGGCGCCAAGAGCATTTGTTGGCGGGAGAATTTCTCTCCAAACAAACTACAAATTGCCGTAGTTTGGCAAATGTATTGTTGACCAAGCAGAGGTGTACCTCCATCTATGTATATTCGATTGTGCTTAGCAGACCGGTTGTCAGCTAAATCAGCGGCTGGTTGCAAGTTAGCAAGTTGGAGCGAGTTGCGTTGCCGGTTGATTTATTTAGTATGTTGATACTCTCTATGGGCGCTCACCCATTCCACGACTCACTGCATCGGGGAGAAGGCACTTTGAAAAATTGAGATGCGCTGTCAGTTCTGTGGGTGCGAGCGCGCGCTAACCAGCTGCTCCACTAGCCATAATAAGTAATCCCCGCTGCTTCTGCTACATTTTTGCACTTGCGCTCGCTTAAGCTGATGCCAGATAAAACTTTGTAGCTTTGCGTGACATTTATAACTTTGCCAGCAAAGCGCCAGACGCAAAAGGTATGCCACAATGAACGCCAAGAAAACAATGTTGTACCGCTTTTTTACTCATCAAAGTTGCTGTGGATTTTAATTATTTTGATTTAAAATTATCAGCAATGTAATTAAGTTTTATGTTTCTGCATGAAAACCCGAATTTGGACGAAACAAAATAAATATTAAACCGGCTGATTGTCAAAGCGCGCAAAAAGATGGGAGTTGACCATCTTTTCGCTTCGCGCTGCCGCTTCAACGATTTATGTGGCATGCTTTGTGCATTTTCATACAATTCATCTTATCTGTCAAAGCGAATCTGTCACGTAAAGCGAAGCAAAAGTTTTATGTGACATCAGCTTTAGTCACTACAAGAAATGCCGCTCGCTACCTGTGCACCACTCCGAATCTCTGTTGTCTTTTTTCGGAGTAGTTTTTCAATTTACTTGACTCTTCCAATAGCGCGCTTGCTCTCTAAATAAACAAGCATTTGTTTTACTTGTTTTGCTGCCACACGTTTTTGTTGGCCATTTGTTTGCGTGACTATGGTTGCTTATGGTTCAAACGAGTAGCGACTGTTGACGCGTTTGCACGAGCAAATCGGCGCGTACGCGTTATCATAAAATTTTTTTGTTTTCGAGGCGAGTTTTTCGAGCGAACGCCAAAAAGCAATTGAAAAAAATCTTTAATTGAAGCAAAAGTTGAACAAACAATTGGCAAAAATTGTCTAGCCACGCATGTACGCGCAGGAAATAAAGAAACTCACATCTGCGCTTTGGATGTGTTGTTGTTTTAGCTAATACTGGTGTGCAGATTTAAGCCTAAAGTGTTAGTATGAGAATATTTCTTTGTGCTAAAAGAGACGTGTGAGACTGTGGGCAAAATGCATAAAAGAGAAAAAAAAAACAATTCTAATTGCAACATCTGAAGAAATTTGTGTTGAAACTTTAAAAAAATTTTAAATAGAAACCGAAATGAAAATTTAATAAAGAAAAATTATTCAAAGTAAATATTGAAATAAATAAAATGATAATTCGCATTGTGGTTGATTTTAACTTAGAAACATACTAATATTAATGTATTTGATACATCAGAAAGAAAAATTATTTTGAAAGAATAAAATTCGTGTACAACTCTGATTTTGTTTTTAACGGGATATTCACAAATTATGTATATCTAATCAATGTTAAAAAGTGATCTTGTCACCAAGATATCATAAGTTGTTTTAACAGAATTAAAAATTTTTTTTTGTTTGATTTTCCAACCTCGATAAATCCAATAGAAGTTTACAAAAAAAATAAGTTTTTCGAGGTTAGAAAGAAAAACAAGCCAAACTTTGAGTTCCGAATCTGAAGTCAGTATATGAAAATTGCTAATTTTTGTTTTTTCTGACACCAGTAAAACATCACAAAAATAGCTTTTTTTGAGGTTAGAAAAAAGATATGCTAATTCTTAAGTTACGACTTCAGAAAATCAGTGATCCTAAATCTATAATAATTCATCAATTTCGCTCGCCAGAAACCAAATATTTTGGTGCCATTTATTTACAGTAGATTCAGCAATCTGCGAAAACCCCAAGATGTGAAATTATTTTTACATATAAGTTTCATGATTTGTTTTTGACTAGTTCGTGAATGCCGCTATTGAATAGCAATAAGTTAAATTTTTTATACAAATATATATTTTTTTAATATGCTAGCCGGTGTACTTCTCAGTCAATCATAGAAGTATTCCTTAGAAAAATAATTTTTTTGTAAAAAATAAACCAAATTAATTTTTAGAATTTCAGCCTGAAGGCGGGATCTTCCTTTGAACAGTTGATTTTTGTCCAGACATTTGTATGAATACGCCTATTATAAAATTTAATTCGATTGGGCGATGTCTATAAGCCTACAACTCATTAAAACTCGAAATTTTAAAAAATTTGCTGCCATTTTTATATTACATTAGAACTTTCGATACTTTTCTTTCTTTTTTCAGTTCAATTGAATAAACCTAATATAAATTTTTGAATTTTTCAAAGCAGTTTTTAGTAAAAAAAAATTTATTAACAAAATCATTATTTAGAATTTTGGGTTTGAAGGCGGCTTCTTACTCTAAGCAGTTGATTTAATATTTTTAATACCCATATTCTAAAATTCTAATTCAATCAGGCGAAATCCTTAAAACTCAAAATTCCAAAATCATTCCATACTTGTTTCGCGAATTTCGAGCCTTTTTCAGTTTAATTAAATACTGCATATATAGAGAATATTAAAGATATCAAATTTTTTTACGCAAAAATTCTCATAAAGCATTTCTGCATCAAAAAAATAAAATTAAATATTTCACTTGCGTTTTTCGCGGTTACAGCTTGCTATCTAATTTTAAGTCAATAGAAAATATTTCCTTTTATTAAAATATTGCACAAAATTGATTTTTCGAATGCGCTTTTAATGAGTCATTAATTTTGCGCGCACTGTTTTTAATGTTGTCCATATCTTTATCAATTATTTTCGGGGTTTTTATTACATTTTTTTTTCTATGCGACTGAAATCTACGCTTAAATCTATCCACCTTATTCATCTCGTTACATTGTGAATACCGGTAATGAATTTAAATATATTTTTAACCGTTTTTTCCTTGAAAACTTGCATAACTTAACTTAAAAAAATGGACAGAATAAATTTGTTTAGCCTTTTAATTTTATTAAACAATTTTTATTGAGCTTGAAGCATTTTTATATAAAAAATTATTGTGGAAAAACAATATGATTTTTAGGCCAAAAAATAATAAAAACCCTTTTTTAATTTGATTTGTTTTTTAATGTATTTTGTAATGGAGTAACATAAAAAATCAATTGCAGCTACTCAGCTTGATGATTTCACCAGTGTGTGAGTACCCTTATTGAACTTAAACGCAAATTAAATTCATTTCGTTTTGAAAACTTTTGAAAACTATTTCACAAATTGACTTTTCGTATATTATTTTTCAATTTCTCAATATTCTATACAAAACTATTTATCTTTTTACAAGCATTTTTAAATATTTTTATAAAAAATAACAGACAATTGCCAGCTGCCAGTGCTAATTTTCGCGACTCCTTCAAATACAATTTTTTTTTTCAACGCGACTTGTGTGTAATTTTACTTTTTCATGGTTTCTCATTTTTTTCGTTTTTGTATGTTTCTGTGTTTTTTCTCTTGTTTTTGCGTATTCCCCTGGTGACCGTGTCAATCGCGTGTGTTTATTTCGTATTTGTCCAGCAAAAGTAGCCGACTTTTCGTAGCAACGAAAAATAAATAAAAACAGCAATAAATGTGAAACAAAAAGAAAAACAAACACAAATAAATATAAAACGCAGGCAACAACAATCAAAAGTCAACTTTCCCCTTTTTATGCGCACTGCACTGTCGCCATCGTCGTGTTGGTAAAATCATTCGTCCGTTGTGGCTTAACAGTGACTTTTTTTTGTGTGTTTTGTTGACGTTCACCTGGTAGTACGGTGTGTTAACGTGTCTCTTACGATTGTTCATGTATTTGTTGGCCATGCGTTAGCGACAACAAGAATAACAAATAAAGGAAAAGCAAAAAAAAAATACAGAAACAAAGAGACTCCACCAACAAAGTACACGTTTTCGTGCAAAATGACTGTTAAAATGCTAATAAAAAAATACAACAAATTACGAGTTGCATAGTTACATACCCTTCAATCATATTGGGCTCTTGTGCTAGGAACTGGTGGTGTCATTTTTGTCATGCCTAAAAACAGAAAAGGGGGAATAAATTTAGTAGCGAAATAAATGAAATGAAGTTGAAGACACGAACATTTGTGGCATACAGACATACAATAAAAATTTCATTATGATCTTTTTTTTTGCGCAGCAACTGAAACTGAAATAAACTTAATAATAAAAACTTTGCAAATAGCGAAAAGAAACAAAATATATAAAATAATGCAAAACAAGTTTTTTATGAAGTGTAGACTAACTGCGCATTTACCCATGAATCGCTGCAGCCTGTGGCTTTGTTGTGGTCGTGCAATCAGCTGGGCAGCCAAAATGTCGAAGACAAAGAAAAAGTAAATTCAATAAATTTTAAAAGATATAACCACAAAAAAGAAACAATGCTTGCTACTAAACAGTAGGGGTATTCACGATCCGGTGCACGCTGTCTAGCACGGTGCATAGATAGCATAATTTTTGTTGTTACATGTGTTCAAACAACAACAAAAGTAGGCAATTATGCTTTTGGTGCTATTTCTGCACCACGGTAGACAGTATGCACCAGATCGTGAATACCCCTAGTATCCCTTTATGGTTGCACTTTGCATTTTGCTTTGTCGCCAGCTACTGCTTTTGTTGCTGTAATTGCAACTTCTACCGACTTTGCCATGCTCGGCTGTTTTGTGCAATTTTTTTTCAAAGAATTTTGCGCTTCATTCAAAGTCTCTTTCTTGCAGTTTTTTGTTGCTGTTGTGTTTTTTTGTTTAAACATATTCAAAGCTGTTCCACTTTTTTGCGCGCAAACCTTTTGAACTGCCAGTTCGTGTATTACTTTTTCCACTATTATTTCACTTCAAGCCCACGTATTACGTCCACTTCATTTGCATTTGCGCCTTCTGTGCTTTAAAATTCTTATTTTTTCTTGCGAAATTCTAAACCAGCAAAGTCTGCAAAACAACAAAAAAAAATTTGCGAGTAGAAAATGCAATATGAAATAAAATACTGTCATTTCTCAACTGGTCAAAAACAACGTGGCCGAATAACAAAGCTGTATTTACAGTGAATTGCATTTTATTGTGAAATTGATGTATGCAAGTGAAAAATAATTCAAAATAAAAAAAAACATCTTTTAAACATCGCACTTTGGTTACACAACCGAATTCCATACAACGACGTCACAAACATATTTGAAATCAAACCGAAACTGGATTCTGCAATCGTGGATACTATTAGCCATTTAAAAATGGTATTTGGCGGACGTTTTCGCATCAGAAGGTGGGTAGTATGCAAAATTAGTTCGCTTATTGAATAATTTAGAAAAAATGCTTATAAAAAAAAATAAAAAAATGTGTTTATTAAATAACTATCTACTCGTACTTATTAAATTGAAAATAATTTTCCTGCTTTGAACGTCTAAGGTCGCATTCAACTCTGGTGCGACAGTTAACTGCCTTACCTAAACAAAAGCGTTGGGCTGAGCATTTTCTGGCGCCTAGCGTTAACGCCGAATTCTGTGGACTTTTGACAAAACAACTTCTCTCGAGTGAGGTCATTTTCTCTTCAAAGCTGTAATTCATTGAGTTGTCGAATAATATTTTTTTGTTTAGTCAATAATAGGAGTAGCTCAAGATGCTAACTTGATGATAGTTAAATAAAAATATAAAATTTTTAAATGGAAGCTCCGTATAATTTACTCTAAATTCCAACCAACACAAAGCACAGAGGTTTTTTTTGTCAAATGTCCACAGGTATGTACCAAGCTATATCTTTTATAAGGAGAACATTCACGAGTATGCAATTAAGTGATACCTGAACGCGAATGATAGTCAAGCAAATACAACTATTTAAGCGGAAATAACACTTCTGAAAATTGGAGTGGAGCTTAAATGGGGTAAAATCTGTTTTGATAACAAATAATAAAGATTTTGTCAATGAGATTGTACTTTCTCCTGTACTTAACTCTGCATGTACACATACATATGTATGTAGGTTTAATTCTACCTTTATATAGAGTTTAGATTACCGGTACTTACCAGTCTTATCATACATAAGAATGTTTCGAAGAGGTGCTTTACGCAGATAAACATTCTATAATTTAGACAAAATAGATACAAATGCAAAGTGATCATTTATAAACGCTCTGTAACGATTTCACCATCAGAAGATGAGTAGTTACTCTTTCTAAACAAAGCCTCAGCTTCGTTTTCTTCACAAAAATTTTCTCTTCGATCATTTATACCACAATAAATAAATTATTTCTTGTTGCGCATTTCCGTTTTGTCATAAGAATTTTACTTAGCTTTCATCAAACTTTTTATGTAAATAAAAATTACCGTAGCCGATATTAATAGCAAGGTAAACACATTTTTCATATCGCACAGATGATAAGCCACGAAAAAAAAAAAAATAAAAAATCAGCAAAAATAAACCTAGCAGAATTGATTGCTTGCTTTTTCTAATTACATAAATAAAGCCGTTTCGACGTGCATTTCTACAATAATCAGCTAGAATATTTAATTAACAAAGAATTCTAAATATATGGTAATTATCGACATTTGATCGCAGAAATTTATTTGCCAACGATTCATCATTACGAATACCGACCGTGGTGAATTAATACAATAAAAGTAGGTAGCAAAATTTTGCAAAGAAAAATAAATATGGATATAAAAACCAAAACAATTGTATAAAATTGACATTTGTATATACATGTGTAAATATATACAACTGTTTGTCTTGGTAATCAGCGCGTGCAAAAAAAAAATGCTTCTAGATAATGAGTTAAATATTCTGCATACATACATACACTGCCGGCAAAAAGTATTGGCACAGCTAATTTTTCACAATATACGCAACAATGTTTATTCTAATATTTTTCCGCCAATTTTGTATAAAAATATGGAAAAAATGCAAAACACCTTCTACAAAAAAGTTCTCAAAAATCACTGCGATTTTTGACTCACTCCGAACTTGCATTTTTTTACTAGAATTTAGTGGGCTGCAAAACTGCTTAATCAAAAAATCTGATTAAAAGTTGAAAAATAAAAATTGCATATATTGCGAAAAATTTGCTGTGCCAATAATTTGCTCCGGCAGTGTACATACAGTGGCGGTCAAAAATGGACCTTTCTTAAGATACAATTTTTTTGATATTTTTTTTATAAAAGTATGGTTCATGCTTCAACAAAAACTATGTAAATCACACTTTCAACCTTTATACAGAATTTAGAAAAATCACACAAATTTTTATCTAATTTCGAGCTTTTGAACCAGAATTAAAAAAAAAATTTTTGGTATGCAGTTAACAGGCTTATAAAATTTTAGCAAAGCAAGTGCAAGTTTTAAGCTTCTCAAAAATCGCATTGCTTTTTAATATTTTTTTTGCCGACGGCTTTTGTGTTTTTTTTTCATATAAGTAGCGAAATTTAGGTAAACTGGAGTTGCCTTTTTATTTTTTTTCGCAAACGGCCTTTGCGTATATCTTCCACAAGAAATTCATGTTTATATGGAAAAAACGCCATTAACAAAAAAAAATATATATTAAAAATCACTAGAATTTTGTAAGCCTGTTAACTGCATACCCAAAAAATTTCTAAAAATTCTGGTTTCAAAGCTCGAAATTAAGATAAAAATTTGCGGATTTTTTCTAAATTCTGTATAAGTTTGAAACCATATTTTTTATAAGAAAAAATTTAACTTGAAAAACATTGTAAATATTAAAAACGAAACAGCATTCATCAATTTTTGGCCGCCACTGTACATATGTTTATATTCGGAGTGCGGCGTGACTCAAGTGCGAATGCTAATATTTATTTGCATAGCTATCGATAGACCTGTAGGCGAATTTACTTATTTACATGTTTTATAAATTATGGATAATAAATGAAGAGGCAAACTGAAAGTAAGTACATATATATGTATGTAAATTAGGGTAGTTCAAAGAAAGTAAAGTCGGAATTGTAATGGATAATTCAATACCGAAAAAATATAACGTAAAAAATATTTGGAGATTTTCGCATGTATTTTTTATAGGTGCAAAACTCAATATTTATTTATTTGTTTGTTATAATATTTTTTTAATTAAAATATAGTTCGTCCATAACAGAAACAACATAAGTTAAAATTTCAAAGCTTACAAAAAATCCACAAGAAGTGATCGAATGTCAAAAAGAATTGATCAAAATTTCAAACTTTTTATTCAGATAATTTTCGAGTATGCAGTTTTGTAACCCATTAATTTTAGTTTCATAAGGTGCTAATTTCGTATCGCTGAAAATTACGATTGATTTTTTTAAATTTAAAATTTCAAAGCTTGGATATAGTACGTTTCCACGTTTCTTTTGTCCATGAGTGCACATAAAAATTTTTACATGCTATATACATACATACATACATACATATGTATATGCCGACAATGATTAAAAATGTAAAAAAATTATAGCATTTGTAGAAAACTAAAGTTTTTGAAAAACGGCAAAATCACACTTACTAATAAGTGCTAATTCAGCGGTTTATATTAATTCTCCCCAAGTTAGCTGAGTGAAGTTAAATGTAGAAGAGAAATTCGTAGAAAAGAATTGCGAAATCAAATTGATAACTGGGTCATAAATATTTATTTACTACATTTGTGTTTGATTAAAAACTCAGAAAAAAATTTGCAAAACATCTGAATTTAGAAGGTGAAATAGCTTTGTAGACAAGCATTTGGCGGTTTTAGTTGTATTTCTATGTATACATATATATATATTTTTTTTTTTTTGTTGATAATTGAAAAGACTTTACTCACACTGACCCATTTTCTATGTGAAATATTTGCTGGAATTTATTCAGCATTGATGGTTTTCCTAGCCAGAAGCTGTAGTGGCTATTAAAAACTCATCAGAAGTCATTTGAACTTCCGTTTGACTGCAGGGCTTTAAGCTCACCACTGTTAAGTATTACATGTTTAAAGTAGAATGAAAGCAATTTTTTCCCAGCGACTCAATGCCAAAAATTATGAAATAAAAACCAAGAAGAAAAAGAAAATTTTTTATTGGTCCAATTTCATTTAAAACCAGTAAAAGCTATGACTGGAAGAATTTCGTATAGAAAGCTGAGAACCCCAAAATGTTAAAGTTTTTTCAAGCCTAGGGAATGAAAACAAAACTCGTGTGTGTTCACTAAAAGCTTCACATTCCCTTACTGTATTTTTTCTTTTGTTTCATTCCTTTGGCGATTCTTTTCTTTTACATTTAACCGCAAATTCATATGAGGAAGCTATCTAGTATTTAAATGGATTAAGAAATTCAAGGCATGCACTTAATAAAATTATCTAATAATAATCACAAATTATTACCTTCGACTTTGCCCTCTACACATTGACATGAGAAATTCTCTCAATTTAAATACTCCTTGCCTGCGGCCTTAAATTTCCTGCACAATTACTTCCTCCTATTATAATAAGCTTATCACTTATTGCCTTATTACTTAATTCTATTACAATATTGATCAGCGGATTAGAATTCTCAATCATTACTAAATGCATTATAAAATAATAAATTACTAAGCGTAAACTCTCATATGAATAGATAAAATTGCAGCGGAAATTTTGAAATGTGCAACAAATGTGAAATCTTTAATTCTCATGAGTAAACATAGAACCAAAAAAAAGCTAACAATTGTGCTAAGCTAAAGGCTATTCCCAGTAGACTAATTTGAACAGATTGATCAGTCAAACTACGAGCATCAACAACTTAATTATTTAGCGGCATAGCGTGTAAGCATGCGCTACTAACATAGCTTACAACATAATTTGTTAGAAATTCTCACAAAAAGAAGATCAGTTATATAACTTCTTTTTTGTCATTAACAATGCAAATAGTTGTGATTGTCTTATTAGAATGTGAGCTTTTTTTCTAAACCCCGTTGACCAGATACCACAAAATTCAAAGCTATGTCTTAAGCAACGAGGTATATGGACTTTTCAAGTATTACGAAATTAGGCCATTAGCTGTAATAAATAAATAAATAAAAAAGTACGCA